TTAGGGTAGAGACTACAGATGATGGGAATGTGAGGCACAGTGGGATTCATTGATTCTCATTGCAAGCATTTCACACCTAACCTATTGTAATAAAGTCCTGGCTGGCCACTCTGCTTCCAGCTTTGCTCTTTTAAATTCATCATCTGGATTCGATGACATGAAATGTAGCTCTGATCCTGTCCTTCGTATCCCTGATTTAAATCCTCTACTGTTTTCATCAAATCTCCGGGACTAATTGCAAATTCCTAAAATTAGCATTGCATACAAGTTTCTCCAGTTATGTGGCTCCTGTCCATCTTCCCAGTCTTACCTCCCAGAAGGTCCTAAAATGTACCCTGTCCCCCACACACACTGAACTACATGAAATCTCCCCAAACTCCACACCCTCTAAACAGAGATGAGGGGGAAAGAACATTCCAGGTGGAATAAACAGTTTGAAGAGAGATATAAACGTCGGTAAATGTTAAGAGATAAAATATAACTGGACTCCAAAATTAGATGAGACATGAAAAATAAGAATTGCTCACAGCTATGATTCTTGAATGAAGCACTGCCTCTTTGCAATGTGTTAGAAAGTAGGTGCTGTTAATTTTTCTCAAGGAGTTAAATTTTATGCACCTACCAGACTAAATATTTTTATTAGGATAAACTTGTCTGATGTTGCTCTTAGTAATTACTGTACACATGACCTTTTCCTCATCTTTCCAAGTTTTAAATAGTCCAATTTTTTCATGTCGAGAGACATGTTGGTTGAGAGGTACCTTTCACAGCATGGAACATAACCAACACCTTGCAAAAATGTGTGCAAGTTTGTGTATTTTTCAAAGATAATGAGGACAAAGATTTAAAATCTGTTCAAACATTTCCTGGCAAAATGTATATAAATTGTGCCAAAAAGAACTGCATATTGCATGCCTTCAATCTGTTTTTGAAATATTTGTAGATATAGGCAACATCTGTTCCGCTGGACCAAGACACACTGTAAGTGCTAATAACTTTGAACAGCTCTGGTTTGAAAAGTTTGTATTTGAAAATTAAATATTTTTTTAAAACAGATGCATGCTGAAGTTCTCTAAGTGAACTTAAAAAAATGTTAAGTTAGAGAAATTGTGAAGAAAATATTTTACTAAATAAACCAAAGTCTAAAACTTAAGGAATTTGCTGAATGATGTAATCTTGTATTAAAAAATATGCCTACTTGCAAAATATAAGATTGCAGTCCAATTCTGTAAAGTATGGAAGGGGGTTAGGGAGCAAAGAACTAAGGGACCTATCTACAAGTATACAAAAGAGATTCCCATATTTTCTACTACAAATATACTGGCATACACAAAGTTTCTATTTGAAGTAGACACCAGCTTGCCTGGCTGGGGTGGCTCAGCAGTTTAGCGTCGACCCAGAAACTGAGAGGTTGCTGGTTCGATTCCCAAAAGGGGGTGTGCAGGAGGCAGCCAATCGATGATGTTCCTCCTTATCAGTGTTTCTATCTTTCTAACCCCTTCCCTTTCTCTCTCTCTAAAAACCAATAAAAAAATATTTAAAAAATAAAGTAAACACCAGCTCTACATAATTAGGGAATTACAGTAATAGGCTTTACACATGGAAATGAGCTATATTCATGTATACTTTTGGCATATGTTATTAGAGAAACTTTAGTTTCACTGTGGAATTATGTATCTGAAATAGGATCAACTTTATATTATAAACTCTAATTAGAATTAAAAGTTGCTTAAAAATGAAAAATTATTCAAAAAAATAAAAACTCAACCTGATTGAGGATTAGTAAATATATAACGTACCAGCAGTGACCGGATTTGTCAACTGGAGTAACTTTGTTCCAGAAAAGTGTACTAGTAAGTCTGAATTAAACTAGATGACAGTAAGATTCACTTAATAAAAAAATCAGTTTTGCAGTAAATTACATGGAATGGTAGACATTTCTTTTTATGGTAACAGAAGGAAAGTCTTTGGCAAAGAGCTGGTTGTCATCAAGCAGTATTTCTCTAATCCTAGGGAGCCATACATTAGTGCATTGTGATATCCAATTGAGTACAATTTTTAAAAATATATTTTTATTGATTTCAGAGAGAAAGGGAAAGGGAGAAAGAGATGGAAACATCAATGATGAAAGAGAATAATTGATCAGCTGCCTCCTGCACACCTCCCACTGGTGATCAAGTCCACAACCCAGGCATGTGCCCTGACTAGGAATGGAGCCGTAACCTCCTGGTTCATAGGTTAACATTCAACCATTGAGCCACGCTGGCCAGGCAGTACAATTTTTTAAATGAAAAATAACATATTAGAAAATATGAAATTGCACAACAGATAGTAGGGGTAAGAATTGTTTTGTTAAAACTTGGTTTCAAATGTGTATGTGTGAGAAAGATATGACATGTATTTCTTATTGTAGATCGTAGTTCAAAAATGGTTTGAAGCCCACTGCCTCTATGGAAAATATTATATTCTATCCTCTTTGGAGGCTAGTGCAATTTGTTCTAAAGAGCAGATGTAAATCAGAGAAGATTCTGGGCCAGATAAAGTCTTGGATATTACAGACTCCTTGGAGGGCCCAAGAGAGGAAACTGAGGCAATTATTAAGATGCAAATATACCTGTCAGGGTGATTCCTTCCACCTTCCCCTCTTATGCTAAGCCAAGAGAGATAAATTACTTATTCATAGCTAAAGCAGTTAAAGTATTCTCTCTCTCCATGCAAGGAATGATAATCAAAATTAGCTTTCATAGACAGGTCTTCTTAAATACACAGATAAGAATACTATGAAAATCACAAAACATCTGAAGCAAAACCATACAGAAAGGAAGTAACAATTTAAAGAATCATAAATATTTTCAGGGGCATATGAGAAGTCGACTTAACCATGAAAAATAACAGGCTGAATTATAAATCTTAAAAATATGTGATCATTAGTATTTAATTACAAAGAAATGAGGTTGAAATAATAAAGTTGGCTTTTTAAAAAAAAAAAAAAAAAAGGATGTAAAAAAACAATTGAACAATTCTGAAAAGTTCTAAAGGGGAAAGATGTATGAAACTAGAAGTTAACGCCAACCAAAATGTTACCGAACTCAAGGGGTTCGTTTCTTGGGGTGCTTTATTCAAGAACTAGATGTGGTTGTCATAAAGTAGTTTTATTTACTTGCAGCAAGTGAAAGAGACAGTTGGATTCACATCCAAAAAAGCTCTGTCTCCAGGAAGAGAGGCGTAGCCATCGCTTATATACACTATTTGGTCAATTTCATGTTGATTTCTTCTTTGCCGTTGGCTGCACTTATCTGGTTGAGTTCCTATCAAGCTCATTCTGTTTATAGCTGCATCTGCAAAATACTGTGCTACATGTTAACATTTAGCAAGATAACAGCTAGTAAAAACAGCAGAGACCCTGAGACACTTTTTATCTAAAAAAAAGAATTCATGTAGAAGACAAATATTGAAATAATAGAAGGCAGGTAAAATGTATTACATAATAAGAAAGTTTGATAAATATAAACATATTTTTAAAATTAGGTCAAGAAAAGCTCAGATGTACAAATTACAAAACAACAGATATGTGCTACTTATTAAAAGTTAGAGATTTTCAAGTTGGGTAAAAAAATAAAATCTAAATGTATGGTGTTTACAAAAGATTTATCTGAAACAATATGAAACAAAATTATTTGGGAAGAAAAATATATCAGAAAATTGTTAATAAACAGAAAGCAGATCTAAAAATGTCAATGTTGGACAAAATAGAATCAAGAGCAACATGAAAAGAAAAAGAATGATAAATAGAGATGAAAGAAACAATATAAAATGATACATACTCTTCATGGATTAAGTTCTTAGCAGCAAAAATATATAAAACAAAAATAGAGAGAAAGGCAAGTGAAATTAATAAGTATACAGTATAGTCAGAAATTTTAATATATCTTGCTTACAAATTGACAGGTCAAGTAAACTAAAAATAATTAAAGCTATTTAGAACTCAAAACCACAGACAATTATCAAAATTGGTTTTATAAATAATGAATATTTGAGGAACTTTTGTACCCGAGGGAACATTTATTAAAATGTAGTCCATAATCTGATCTCAAAGCAGTGAAATCATCAAGACACTCATATTTACATTTATAAAGTGTTTACTACATGCCTGGTATTGTTTATTCTAAGCAATGATTTTCATATTTAGTAAATAAAGGTACAAGATGCCCAGTTAAATAAGAATTTAAGTATACAATGAATATTTTTAGGGGGATTTTGGAAATTTTAGAAATTTGTAGAGATAATACATTTTTAAAGCTTGGGGAGAAACAGAGAGAAGCATTCCCATATATTTGTAAGATAAATTTATCACCTGGATGCCTAATTTAGACAAACCTGACACAAAAAATGAGACATAGACATACCTACTTTTATTTACGGCTGTAAAATTTCTAAATGCTAATTTAATAGATTTAATATAGCAGTGTATTAAAAGTTGTCTGACACCAGAAATGGAAGGAAGGTTCAACACCACAGAGTATTTTAATGTAATTTACATTTTTAAAATTAAAGGATGAGAGCAATAAAATCATTGCAATTAATGAAAAATCAACTTATTAAAAGTGACATCTATTTATAATAGTTCTTATATCTGACAAATGTGTAATACAAGAACAAAGTTTTCTAACTTGATGAAGAATATCTATCTAAACATCAGGAATGACAAATTTGAAAGTGTAATGAATAAAAGTCCTAGTCATAATTGAAAATAACAGCAAATGAAAGAAAATATCTAGAAATAAAATTAATGTAAATGTATAATATCTATAATAAAAAATTTACTGTGGGATGTAAAAGAGGATATAGTTAAAAAAAACAACAAAAGAAAAACATACTGAGAACCTGACTATGATGATCAACTGAACGCTGCCTCATTTCCTTCCTTCTTCGCCGACTCGGTCCACACCTTTGGGAACCCCTGGACCTGCTGGGGCTGGACCCCAACAGGCGGCGTGGGAGCCGCCATGGCGCACATCACTACCAACCAGTCCCTGCAGCAGGCCTATGAAGCAATTGAAACCAGAGATGGGGAATGCTTTGCAGAGCTGGTGTCTTTCAAGCATCCTCACGCTGCCAACCCACGGCTTCAGTTGGCCTCTCCGGAGGAGAAGTGTCAACAAGTTTTGGAACCCCCTTATGATGAAATGTTTGCAGCTCACTTAAGGTGCACGTACACAGTGGGGAACCGTGACTTCACAGAGGCATACAGATGCCAGACTGTCATCATCCAATCATTCCTGCGGGCGTTTCAGGCCCACAAAGAAGAAAACTGGGTTCTGCCTGTCATGTATGCAGTAGCACTCGATCTTCGAGTATTTGCCAGTAATGCAGATCAGCAGCTGGTTAAGAAAGGAAAAAGCAAAGTTGGGGACATGTTGGAAAAAGCTGCTGAGTTGTTGATGAGCTGTTTCCGCGCCTGTGCCAGTGACACTCCTGCTGGTATAGAGGATTCTAAGAAGTGGGGGATGCTGTTTTCTGGCGAATCAGTTATTCAAGATTTACTTTAAGATCAACAAACTCCATTTGTGTACACCTCTCATCAGAGCCATCGACCGCTCAAATCTGAAAGAAGATTCTAGCACAGCACAGAGAGTAACGTACAGGTACTACGTTGGACGAAAGGCCATGTTTGATCGTGGCTTTAAACAAGCCGAGAAGTACCTGTCCTTTGCCTTTGCGCACTGTCACCGTTTGAGTCAGAAGAACAAAAGGATGATTTTGATATATTTACTCCCAGTAAAAATGCTGTTGGGTCATATGCCAACCATTGAGCTTTTGAAAAAGTATCATCTCATGCAGTTTGCTGAAGTAACCAGAGCTGTAAGTGAAGGCAATCTCCTTCTATTGAAAGAGGCTCTAGCAAAGCATGAGACCTTCTTTATTCGCTGGGGCATCTTCCTTATCCTTGAAAAGCTGAAGATCCTCATCTACAGAAATCTTTTTAGGAAAGTGTACTTGTTACCCAAAACACACCAGTTATCTCTGGATGCTTTTCTAGTTGCTTTGAAATTCATGCAAGTGGAAGACGTGGACATCGATGAAGTCCAGTGTATTCTAGACAACCTGATATACATGGGTCACATCAAAGGCTATATACCACATCAGCATCAGAAGCTAGTTGTTAGCAAGCAAAATCCGTTTCCTCCGCTGTCTACAGTGTGTTGAATGTAGCAACACCTGTTCCTCTGGTGTGCATCGTACTAATGAAATCAGTACTTTGCTAGGACGTTACTTTCTGCAGCTGGAATCTCTTTGGGGCTCTTCTCTCGGGATGTTGAGACTGAGTTCCCCGCATTCACAGCCACCTTGACATTTCCTCATCACTCATTACTAATGTCAACCTCACGGAGACTTGGAATTTCTTTTTTAAATGTTGCAGACCCTCCTTTGACTCTGGAGCATTGGAGAAACTTCTGTGAAAGAGGCTCTTCTCCAAGGCAGCTACAGTTTACTTCTCCTAAACAAACAAACAAATAAAAAAAAACATACCCTATTCTAAATGGAAAGAATATATAGTAAAAGTAGTTATTCTCCACCCTAAGTAAATTACAGAATGAATGCAATCTCAAATCAAAGCCTAAGATTTTTAAAAATAAAACTTGACAATACAGTTTCCAGAAAAGATGCAAAAGTAGACACACACACATACACACACACACACACACACAAACACACACACACACACAAAACCATCAAAAGAAGGAAGAAGGTGGAGAATGTATGCCATCAGATTTTAAAATATACTATAAAAATATAGCAATTAGCCCTAACCAGTTTGGCTCAGTGGATAGAGCGTCTGCCTGCGGACCGAAGGGTCCCAGGTTCGATTCTGGCCAAGGGCATGTACCTCGATAGCAGACACATCTTCAGTAGGGGGTGTGTAGAAGGTAGCTGATCAATGTTTCTCTCTCATCGATGTTTCTAACTCTCTATCCCTCTCCCTTCCTCTATGTAAAAAATCAATAAGATATATTTTAAAAATATATATATATAGCAATTAGCCCTAGCCAGTTTGGCCCAATTCCGATCAAAGGCACTTGCCCAGGTTGTGGGCTCCATCCCCAGTAGGGAGCATGCAGAAGGCAGCCAATCAATGATTCTCATCATTGATGTTTCTACCTCTCTCCCTTCCTCTCTGAAATCAATCCTATCTAATAAGGAGGAAATGTGCTAATTGACTGCCACACTCTCACAAGATGGCAGCGACCACAGCCACAAGGTGGTGGAGCCCAGTCCCCAGCCCCGCCGGGGGCCTTGGGTCCTCCTGAATCCCACCACTGACTAAGGCTCAGGAAAGCAGGCTGGCTGAGGTGCAGGCAAGCCTTGGATGGCAGCTGCCCAGCTACCCAGGGCCAGCCCGAGGCTCAAGTAACCAGGGCCAGCCAATGCTTGCGCTACCGGCAGTGGCAGCAGCAGAGGTGTGATGGGGGTGTTGCCTTCACCTGGTCACTGGGTCGCCTCCTGCCCCTGAGGGCTCCCGGACTGTGAGAGAGGGCAGGCTGGGCTGAGGGACCCCCTCTCCAGTGCATGAATTTTCATGCACCGGGCCTCTAGTAAAAATATATTTTTAAAAAATAAAATAAATAAAAGTGTAGCAATTAGAATAAAATGACAGTGATGCATTAATATATAAATGGAGGAAAACCAAATCCATGATGAAGAACATTCCAAACCAATGAAACTAAGAATAAACAAATGGAGGTGGAACAAATATTGTTAGTTTCCTAATTTGGAGCCAAGAGAAAAAGAACATATATTCTAGGTAGTTTAAAAACACGAATGTCTAAGATAAAACTATAAAAAGCATCCAAAGATAATATATTTGTAATCTTGGATTACAGGGGACCTATGAGAGATATGAAGTGTGTATGCCATAAAAGAAACTATTCATAAATTTGACATTAATATTTAAAACATGTGCATAAAAAATAATATCCCTACCAATATTTTTAGTTTTTATCATTAAGCTATGTAGAATCTTCAGAAGAAATGGCTTACAGCTAAGAAAATGAAAAGGGGCAGACAGAACTACCAAATGTTGAAGGCCTACTCTGTAATTGACACCAGGTGAAGGATTGGACATTGGCTATCCCAGTGGTCGGCAAACCGTGGCTCGTGAGCCACATGCATCTCTTTGGCCCCTTGAGTGTGGCTCTTACACAAAATACCACTGTACGGGTGCGCACATACAGTGCGAAGTTGACTTAAAACTTTAAGTAAAGTTTATTAAGTTAATTGTAGGGAACGTTGTGGAGTGAAAGAAGATGTAGTGTCGAGGATTGAGAAAGGTATGTTGAGATGGTTTGGACAGATAGAGAGGATAAACGAAAGGAGATAGACGAAACAAGTATACAAGATACGTGTGGATGGGAGAGTTGGAAGGGGTCGACCTCAGGGAACGTACCTCAATCAGATTGAGGACTTTTTTAGCAAAGGCCTGCTTAGGAGTACCCTAATTAAGTTAATAACAATGTACCTACCTATATAGTTTCAGTTTAAAAAATTTGGCTCTCAAAAGAAATTTCAATCGTCGTACTGTTGATATTTGGCTCTGTTGACTAATGAGTTTGCCGACCACTGGGCTATCCCATGTAATCCCAGGGAATCCTCATCAGTCCTGAAGGATGTATTACTGTCATCATATTGCCAAGGAAAAAGCACAGGACGAGAAGGAAACGGTAGACTCACTAAGAAATGACTCAGTGTAACACTGTTAGAGTCTGGACCAGTCTTCCCGGTGTGAGTCTGTAAAACATTACAAGTGCTAAGTAACACTTATTTAACACAAAGTACGAAATAAGATTCAGCTGTAAGAGCAATTATGTGAATCTACTGCCTAGGTGTTGTTGTTTGTTAATTTCTTTATTGATTAACATATTACATATGTGTCCTTATCCCCCATACCTCCCCCACCACCCCCCACCCATGCCCTCCAAAGGACTTGTATGCATGCATATAAGCCTAACCAATGGACACAGTCAACAGGGGGCTGAGGGCATGCTGCCTTAGTTTTCATGAGGCTCCTGGTGTGCTGAGACACTGATACTGTTAGTAGAGAGTCGTGGTAACCAGCTAAAAATGTGACCTAAGACTGTGTCTTGTGAAGTTGTGTAAATTGTCACTTCATATAGTACTTCCATTCTGAACACTAGATGCAGTAATTTTGTGTTTGGGGAAGTTTGGGGACCACTAACTAGAGTCAGTAAAAGACTTAACAACAGGGTACTCTGGGAGAAATTTCGGGTCTTCAAAGTGTCTGCTGATTTAAAAAAGACAGAATCTACTTAAAGAAGCTAAGATCCTATTACTCAAGTTAACAGATAATAGGAAGATATCTTCAGTGTGTGGGTGTTTTTTTTTCTATTGTTAGGAATAATTCTGAAGCATTTATATTATTTTAAATCCTGCCAGTCCCTGCCCTGCATGGTTAGTCGAGTTGAAATACCTCCAGTCTCTAGGTTAATGCCAACCACCCCATCCTGAAGGCCTTCAATCTACTATGTGCTTTCAAAGTCCTGCGGTGGGTAAAGAACACTGGTGAACTTTGCAATGAATATGGACGCTCAAATTATAGGATTTGGGGTGCCTAGAGTAAGGTCTTGGCCCAAAATGCCAACAAAAAAGTATGGAAACTTGCCTAGTGAGTTCTCCCCTCTGAGCCCCACTTAAGGGACTTGATGTCTGCCTCATATTTAGTTTGCTTTTATCCATTGAAAATGGCACCACCCATCTGGCCTGAGCTTGACAAATCTATGATTCTTCCCAATCTCTTAGGTGGTTTAGTTCTGCATCCGTATCCACAAGCAGTTGTTGGACTGGCTTTAACATGAACGAATAGCCTGGAATCCAGGTACTGCTACTCCCTGACTATTTCTATGTTTGCCGAGTTCCCGTGGTCAACGTGACTTAGATTGATAGCCCACCTCTTTGAAAAGGAACGTTCTTCATAGACGTGAACAATTCCCCACCAGCAAATTTGGGGGAGGGGAGAATATAAAACATTGCTTGAATTAAACAAAAAGGGAAAATTAAAATGTTGGTGCTCAGTTATTATGGTCCATGATCTCAACAAATAAACAGGTAAAAATGCTTATTTTGATGCATGGTTTAACATTTTTTTAAACTCATATTGTTTGCCACAGCCAATAGAATTCTTAGTTGTTTTCACTTTGAACAGTTGAGTTAGAATGTAGCATTTGTGCATAAATGCCATTTTGGCCAGAGGAAGGCTGCTGCCTTGTGTAAGCTGAAACAATGAGAGTTTTCCATTGAAACGAATTGGAAAGTAAATGTAGAGCAATGCAGTTATATATCTGTGAGATTAATGCCACCTACAACATGAGAAAAGGATGAGTCTAAGCTTTTCTCTTTCGGTAAGAAACTTACAAATTAGAGGATCCTTTGTTTTCCTTTTGGAGAATGCAGTCTAATGCCTTCAGTGGTTTCCTTCTCAACACATAATTGATGTTGGAATGACATTCACTTTGAGTGTGGACAGTTGTACCTTTGGGACAGAAGCAGTTGTTTCTCCCTTTGTCATCTTGCACAATAGCTATACTAGGAGAACTATTTTCTCTAAGAATTACCACTTCAGAGACCTAGAAAACTCAACAATGTCATTTTGTATGTTTATAAAAGACAAAACGGTCTTGCTACTATAAATGGAGTAGAGGAAAAAGGCAATTGAACCAATAGTACTTTATTGCTGGAAATATACCACAGGTCATTAAAAATAGAGGCATGTAAAATATTTAAGGGCACAGTTAAAACGGTCTTGTGTTAAAACTTTTGAAAAGGATTTTAAAAATAGAAAAGATTTTTGCAAACTAGCAAAAAAAACATTAATGGAACTTTAAAAAAAAAGAATACAGATATAAAAACTTTTCCAATGTATTTTTCTTGTCTTTTTCCTTTTTGAGAAGAGACCTTATATATAAAAGAGAGAATAAAATGTGCCATACTTAACCAGTGAATACTGGAAAACATAGATTATGAATTTATGAGTAAGTAATTTTTTCTCTTAGCTATAATAATAAATCACCATTGTTCTTTTATAATTTTTTATTCTAATGAGCCAAAATGTATATTTATCAAACTATAGATAAAGACTCAATATCATATAACTTGAATGAACTATATAAACATCATGGCTGGAAAAAATAAAAAACTAAGGATCAGTTAAGTGTATTAAGTATAAATATATGTCCAATGT